GAGCGTAGATGCATGAGGCTGAGGTGTATGCAGTGGGAATAAAGTGCTAACTAAGAGGCATATGCCTGGGTACTTCGTTATCACCAATCCTATGTGCTTGTTTTTCTATTCTTGCTACAAATGCATTCAATTTCAAGGTTCAACGATAATAACTCTTCATGACACGATCGTTTGGTTTGCATTCATCAATCAAACACACAGGAGGCTACACAAACAACTGCAACAACAATTCATAGAAAAAGAAAAAGAACAAGAACTAAAAGCAATTCCGAGGATTAAAACTCAAAATGCACAAATAAAGAAAATTAAAAACTAATATACTACATGCAAATACTATAAAGCAACTTCAATAAGCACACAAAACAAAATTAAAATTTAATAAAACTCTAACCAACTAAACAAACAACAGACGATCAAATAACTAAAACTAACAATAAAGTAAAAGAAATTAGTACTAACACAAAAATTAAATCCTATGAACAAACACAAAATATGCAACAATAAGAGGCAATACTAACTATGACTAAACTACCACTCTAAAATGCTATCCATTCATGCAAATGATTAATCAAAACTAAAAAGAACTAAACCTAAAAAGATAAAAGAGTTTCACAATTGTTTCACGCTAAAACTTTGCTTCACGTGGCACATTGTAGCATTTCCCAAATTGTAACTTTCCTACACAACAAAGAAAAACATGAATGAATATGTCCTAATGAAAATTAAAGAAAAAAAAAATTTAAAATTAAAATATTTACAAACTCAAAACACACAAGATCAAAAGCTCATTGCTCCACGACAACGAGCCAAAATTTTGTTGAGCCAATCGTCACAGCTAAACAATTAATCCTAATTACCGTAGTTCATAGTAAGTAGAGTCAAATCCATAGAGAGCAAGACTAATGATTTAATGTATATTTAAGTCTAACAAAAGGGAAATTGAGTAATTTGATCAATTAAAAACTAAGAAAACTAATTAATTGCAAGAAATTAAATTTTGCTAACTAAGACACAATAGCACAAATGTTGCCCTTCGAATTTGGCTCAACCCCACGATTAACTCCCACAATTCCTCTACTCACTCTTAGATTTCCTAAACCTACAAGGTTAGGTAAATCGTAAAATGGTATAATCTATCTTGTGTCTCTACTAATTTAATCAAAGATAGATTGGTTAAGGACTATATCTAAGTATAATATATCTTGTCTCTCTATTGATTCTATTAGAGATCAATTTGTTAAAAACTATCATCGATTTATCAAGAATGCTAACAATATAAATCACTAGCTGGTACAAACCAAATACGTACAACATATTAACCTTGTATTATCCAATCAATCAATTGTCACTTTGAATGAATTCCAAGCAAAAATATTGATAAATGTAATATCACTTGATTGCAATCTAACTTGAAGTAATTGAAAGCAATAATCACATTCAACATGCAATTAGTTCAATTTCAACAGGAATCGTCAAAGGACATCAACAATCCAAACACGTCATGTATCAAAATCATGTTAAAGTATTGAAATCACACTAAAATGAAAACAAACATAATTCCAACACAACACACAATGCAAATAATCAGTCCAATATCAATTTCAATCCAGCTAGTCAAGAAATGCAATAAAAAGGAGCTGTGGATGTCAACTGTGAACAGGCAATCGGGAGCTCAGTCGCTCATGTTAGTATTGATGGTGGCTGGAAAGACGAAAAATGGGTTGGTCATAGTGGAAATCAAGTGACCGATAGCTAGAGAGGGTGGTCTGTGGCTGAGGAAGACCAAGGGATGTCAAGGAAGATGAACAGCCACGATGGCGGCAGCATCCGCCAGCAGGTGATGAAATAGGGATCCAAGGGAGTAGATCAGGTGTTAGGGAGTCCAATCATTGTCGAAAAGTGAGCGAAATCATGGTTGGAAGTCGAACGGTCACTGGTGGCACTTGTGATGAAACGACGACGGATCTTCGTAAATGACGGCAAGGAAGATCGAGCAAGGGAAAACTGGCAGCTAGGGAGGCCAATTGACACTGAGGAAGGGCAAAAGTCACCAAAAAAAGGATGAAACGCCGTTGGAAATCGAAACGTCACCGATGGTGAGGAATACGAAGCATCATGATGGTGAGAAGTGATGGATGATAAAGACGGATGATAAAGACAGATGATGGGAGAAGGTGAAATAGAAGGCCATCAATGGTGGAGCTAGGGTTTTGGGTGAGCGGCGACTGCTTTTGCGTGACCTTTTACCTTCCTTTTATAGTGAGGATGGCATATATCAGTTCGGTCCCTACACGAATAAAAAATGACAAAAGCAACCCCAAATGTAAATAACAATTTGACCCCTGAACAGTATGATATAGACAACATCAACCCTAATCAATAAATCACACCCTAATATCAACTTACACCATCTCAAAATTCATTCCAAACATGCAACATTTGTAAGAAAAATTTAGAATTTGATTTTCAAGAATAATTTCATAAATTCTTAAATTGTCTCAATATAATTTCAATTAAATTACAAATGGGGTATTTTTATCACCTAAATAGAGTCATTTTGATGAATCTAACATATACGTTTTCAATAGACATTAGAAATACAAACATATCATGCATCATAATCATATTAAAGCATTGCAATTAAACTGAAACGAAAACAAATACAATCTAAATACAAAATATTTAACCAACTGTCCATTGTTTGGATTCAATCCAACCATTCAAGAGATGTTGTGAAGAAAAACTGTGGTCGTCGATCTTGGTTTGGCCTTCACTGTAACAGGCAACCGGAAGCTCAACTGCTCAAGGTGGTGTTGATGGTGGCTAGAAAAGATGAGAAAGTCGTCATGGTGAAGAATGAGTCATTGGCAACTGTAGAGGGTGATTTGTGGCTGAGTAAGACCAAAAGATGTTGAGGAAGACGAACGATCGTTGGGAAGACAAATGCTCGCGACAGATTCCGATAAGATAATGGTAAATGGGCTTGCGAGAAGGTAGATCGAAGCTGGGGGAAGTCGAATCGGTAGCTAGTGAGGTGGATTATCATCAAAAAATGAAGGAAACACATTGGAAGATGAAACATCGCTGGTGGTGCGAAGATGAACGTTGCGACGAGACGACAAAACGATAATGGAAGATGTTGGTTGGTAGCTCTCGATGATGGGATGAAGAAATCAGTAGCTGGGGAGTCCAACCGTCACTGGAGTTTGCCGAATAATGGAGATGAAGGTCTAGGGTTTGGGTGAGCGGTAACTTTTGGCGAGATGACGACAACTCTTCATGAAACGGCTACGAGGGAGCTCAGCTGAAGGTGAAACTGTCGATTGGCATGGGAAGATAAAGAGCCAATTGGCTAGTCGGTGGCAGCTTAGGGTTTTGTGGTCTACAATTGCCATTTATGGGACCTTTGGCTTTCCTTTTATAGCAAATATGGAAAACATCAATGTGCTCCCTACACAAAGAAAAAGTGACAAAATCAACCCCAAATATAATTATCAATTTGACCCTGAACAGCACAAAAGAGACAAAATCAACCCTGATTAGTAAATCACACCCTAATATCAACTTACTCAATCCCAAATTTCAATCCAAGCATGCAAAATTGTAAGAAAAATTTAGAATGTGATTTCCATGAATAATTTCACAAGCTCCTTTATTGTCTCAAAATAATCAAATTTTAAGTACAAATGGAGTATTTTAATCACTTTAGTAGAGTCATTTTCATGACTCTAACACTTCTCTCCTTATCACCCTTCAAATAAACTTTCATTTTATTGTTTCACTTCTTTTTCTTTTTTTCCTTCTAAAGTTCCAAATAAATTTTTCTATCTTCAATATTTTTCTCTCAATATATATTGTATAAACTACACCAACAAAATATTATTACTTACCATACATGTATTTGTTTAAATATATAAGTCTTCGACTTTTTTACAATATGCTTTTTACAAAACTATTAGAAAATAATAATGTTTTGTTTACAACTGAGTTATATAAACAAACAAAAATTACACAAAAATATGTAAAATGACTATTCTGTTTCTTGTTTTTCATCTGTTTGTATGATTCAGTTGTATGACTCCGTTGTAAGCATAACATTGCTCATTAGAAAATAATCGATCTTGAAAACTCTTCCTTAAAAGCCATTTAACATTAAAATGTTTCAAGTTTTCTGATATTCAAAAGTTCTAAAAAAAAAAGAAGAAGAAAAAGAAAAAAAAAAAAAGAAGCTATCAAGTAAGCGAAGTCATCTTTTTTTTTTTTTTTTCCCCTCTCTATCTCTCTTTATTTTTTTTTTATTTTTTTTATTTTTTATATACTAGAGATTTCTTTTAGATTTTGTTAAATAAACTTTTTGTTTTGTTTTGTTTTTTTTCTTATTCTAAATTTAGTCAATTTGGCTCGAAACACCCAATAAATTTCTTAGAATTGCTTAAAGTCTTGGTCAGCATTAATAATTTGAGCTACGCAACGTGGACAAGAAAACTCGAGAATTGTTTTCAAGTCTGAGTCTCGGTCAACCTATACTTAAATGACAAAAACGAGAGAAGGATCATGCATGCTACATATATTACTCTGTTCTATAAAGTAATTAATATAATAATCATAGGAAGTAGATTTAAAAAAAATTTGAGAGAAGGATCATGCATGCTACATATATTAATTAATTTTTCAAGCCTTGTCAAAATATTTCAATTAAGTTTACATTAACAAGTGGTCTTCATCATATATATTTATATGCAATTGTCACCTAAGAAGAGTAAAATTTACATCATTTGACGTGAAGAATTTGAATAAACATTCGAGAATTGTAGTATCAATCACAAATAATAGTCTTTCCTATGCAGTATTGAACAAAGAACAACTTTAAATACTAAGCACAATTTTATTATTGATTTAAATGATCATAAGATTTAATAGTGCATGAACTCAAGATACATACACATTAACGACTACACTCTAAAATGAAAATGCTCAGAAACTAATGGTTAATGGTCCTGAAACACTTGAAATCAGCATTATTGTCACCGAGGTGAAACACTTGAAAGAGTTACCTCATTGGTGGAGGAAACTTTAATATCTAATGAAGATTGAGGTAAATTCACAACTCTACCAACAGAAAATGCAGGTTCAGTTGGTTTAGGAAGTGTAATTGTATCACTACCCAACATAACTACTACAGATGACATGGTAGGCCTGTCTACTGGATCTTCTTGAACGCACAACAATCCAATATTTATATATTTCAATAGTTCAACCGGAACACACGATTGCGCCAAAACTGGATCCATCAGCTCTAATGCATATTCTCCGCACCATAGTTTCCATGTCTGAAATATTATTCATGTTATAAACTGTTAACTAAGATTATTGGTGTATAATTCGTTTAAGCTAGATCATTGTTCAAATTAAAGATTGAGATAGGGATATACATAATTAAGGAGGCTTTGACCATGTTCTGAAAGATAAAATCCATTATTCTTTTTCCCGCTTACAATCTCGAGTAGAAGAACTCCGAAACTAAAAACATCAGATTTAACTGAAAATAATCCTTCCATAGCATACTCTGGAGCCATATACCCACTGTTACAAATTGGAACAACAAAATAATTATGATTTAATCCAACAAAATAAATCAATGACATTTACATGTTAAAACTCTTTTACAAAAAAACAAAAATTTCTCATACTGTCTAGATTTACTTTAAAAAAATTATCAGATAATTATATTTAAAATTTGGATCATCTTCTTATTTGAACTCATCCAAGAAAGTAAGACAATTATTCTAAGTGGAAGCATTTTCCAGCAAAGAAAGGAAGCAAATCAAAATAGGAAATTATTAATGCACTTACTATGTGCCAACAACTCTGTTGGTGGTAGCTTCATTTTGATTTCTACCAAATATTCAGGCCATTCCAAAGTCTGATATTCTAAGGTTCATCTCAAAATCTAACAAAACATTACTTGTTTTGAGATCTCGATGAATAACTCTAAGCCGAGAATCCTCGTGCAAATACAATAGACCTCGTGCAATGCCATTAATGATACTTTCACGCATTTTCCAATCCAGTTCTGAGCTCCTAGTCGAATCTGAAAATAAAATATAAATTTCGAACATGGCTTCCCATCAAACAGTTATAGCTAGCATTAGAAATTTTGAGATACGAACCAAAGAGGAGGAAATCAAGGCTTTTGTTGGGCATATATTCATAGATGAGCATTGACTCATTCCCCTCTAAGCAGCAACCCAAAAGTCTCACAAGATTTTTGTGCTGTAATTTGGATATTAAAGTAACTTCATTTTTTAACTCCATTATCCCTTGCCCAGAAGTTCTTGAAAGCCTCTTCACTGCTACTTCCTTACCATCCGCTAACATTCCCTGGAAGTAATTAGTAAACTTTCTGTTATAACAATTAAGAAAAAGAAAAAAAAAATTGTTATAACGGAAATTGAAAATAATTATACCTTGTAGACAGGGCCGAAGCCACCTTCTCCGAGCTTATTTTCCTCAGAAAAATTTTGTGTGGCCTCAATTATGATGCCTAATGGAAACAAGGGGAAGTCTTGAGATTCCAACTGCTCCCCTTGTAATAACATATCATATGAATAATCACCTCCAACTCTGCCCTCTCCCAAGCGAAGTAATTGAACTTCGTTATCACTGGTTAAGTTTTCCTCTGCAAGGCACATTTAATTTAACTTGAAAAAACAGGGGAGGAGTAATATATCTCTTGTGAAATTCTTATGACATATGTGACAATTATTATATTAATTGATCGAAGCATATCTACTTTAATCATTTGTTATTAATTTCCCCATATATAATATATTGCTATATATAACAAGACATTCAAATTTCAAAGTTTATGTAAAATAAAATTAGAAGGTTAATTCTTTCTTAGTTCGAAGTTATAAATCAATTACCTTTGTCTCTTTTGTTTCTTCTCCACTGAAAGAAAGAGCCAAGCAGCAGTACTACTATAATTGCTGATCCTGTCGTGCCAATTGCAATCCATAGTGTTTTTCTTCCTTCCAAATTAAAATATTTTTTATTTAATATTCAAATTTATTTAATCCATATTATGACATCATGCACGAGTATTTAATGGTTTTAAATACGAGAATAACCCAAAAAATAAAACAAAATAAAACAAGAGATAATAAATCATGATCATGATAAAACTTACAATTGAAAGAGGTTTCCTTTTAACTGTCTCAGTCTTCTAACAGTAAATGTGAGCTCTAAGAAATTTAAAAGAAAAATAGTATTAAAATCATTTAAGTGATTAGTTAAACAGATTGGAACTCAACCCTAAACTGTATTCTGACTTTACCTTTGGGAGGTGGAGGTGGAGGTGCTTCATTATAGAACGGGTACAGTTCGTATCGTATGTTACAACTTGGAAACAACGATCTCCCTCCTACTCTTAAAGGAAACCAAGGCAACAATGATGAAATTGAATCTCGAAGACAGCTATTGCAATCAATTTTTGATAGGTCCGGTGTGCACTGCACTAGACCATACAGTGTTTGAAACTCGTCAAGAATAACCTTTCTGGTTGCAAACATTTTGGTAGCGTTTATAGCCTCATCCGTTGCTTCGGTCAGCAAGTTAGATACCATCCGACCAAAGTTATCCGTGCCTGTAAAATTATTTATATTAAGCAAGCGCATAGAGGGGTTTTCGCTCACGGTAGAAAAGAAGAACTTGTTTGAATAATGGAAAAGGCACTCATCGTACCATATTATGCTTTGTTCTCCAATAGGACAAAGATCGGTTAAGTTTCTGGTTGCAACATTAACACAGTGTTGGCAGGTGTCCGTATTGACATCGCCGCGGCAAAGAAAGAGGGCATACAACTTGTCAGGGTCATTGCCTGCGGTAGCGTTGTAAAAACCGTTGGAATATTTATCGTTGAGATAAGCATCTCTTGTAAGAGAAGCCAAGAAAAGTTTGAGGTTTGTTTGAAAGGTGCTGTTCAAAGTTATGTTTGGGCAGAAATGGTGAAGATATGTTGGACTAGCTGCCACTACGAAACTCAGCAAGCTTGGAAGAGAGAGAAACACAAGTATGATATTCATGAGAGAATGCGTTTTGATTCTAAGCCTTTTGTTGCTCAATGGAATATATTTGAAAGATCTAAAGAATTTCCCATTTTTAGTACTAACTCACCAATTTCTAAATCATTGGAATACATTGCATCAATGGTCAGATTCCTGCTATAAATTTGTCTTTAAATTGAAATGACTTCGCACCTGTATATGATGTAGAAACAGATGACTGAGATGAGGACTATTCAACCTTTGTCTTAGAAGACGAGAGACTTACTGCACTAGTCAACGGAGCAGATTAAGTCCAGTCAAATTACGTGTTCCTGTGCCTTTAGAAAAATAAAAGAACATCTCGCCATCCAATTTAATCTGTTGAAATTTAAAACAAAGCAATAATATCACAAAACCTAACAATCAGTTGAAATAAAATTTCTAAAAGGGTATCTGCACCAGCGTTAGCCGCAACTCAACTAAATCTTTACCGGCTAGCTAACAATAGCGCACGAGCAAGCAGTAGAGAAACCAGTGTGTGATCAACTGCAGTCACTCCTCATGGACCACCGATTCCAGCTTAAGGCTTTAAAACTGTAAGAGGAGGTTTTTAATAATTGGAAAACAAGGTTTTTGTAGTGCTCGAGCGTCAAAAAATTTATTGTGAAATTTCGTTCATTGGTTTATTTTATTTTATTTTATCTGAAAACTGAATAAAACTGAATTTCTTTAAAATTTGAATGCTAGCATTGTGTTTTATATTTTATGGTTTGATTACAAGTCTTAAGCTATTTTTTTTTAAATAAAAAGATTTGAAAAGTGAAAATTAACATTTTGACATATATGCCCATTTGATGCTAAATATATCATTACTTCAAAATAAATTTTATATAATATTATTTAAGCCATGTTTTAATTTTATAAACTTATAAATTAACATAAATATCTAGTTGAATTAAATTGTTTGATCTAAAACTTTTAACATAAGTTAAAAAAAAAAGGCATATGATAAAAAGTGTTAAAAAAGGTTTTTTAAATGGATATATATGTAATTATTAATATTAACAAAGGACAATATTATCGAAATAATTAACACAAAATATTAACCAGAAAACTGATGTTACGGACAGGTCTTTTTGTGTAATATGTCAAAAGCCTAGACAAAAGGCCAATTTCATATGCCTCAGCGGTACTAAATGGGTTTAACCTTATAAATTTTATTTCATAGTTAACTTTTTATGCATAATCATTTTTAAATTTATTAAATATTTTTTGGCTGGTGATTTAGAAAGTATGCAATTATATAGTACCCTGAACTGGTCCTTAGAAGTAAAGTACTAAACTACTATTTTGACAATTGTAAGTGCTTGGTGAAATTCTACAAGAAATAATTACTCAAAAAACATCGCAGCTATTAATTATACCCCCAATGATGTACAGATAAAAACCAACTAAAGTGGTATCTTTCATTGGCAGCGGCAGCGCATGTACAACAAACAACAAAGGCTAAAAGACTCGGCCAAAGGATGAAATAAAAACATCATGACAAAATTCAATGAAAATGATGGACCAACACTTGTCAAGAGGTAAGCTACTGCCAATCTATTTAATTTATATATGACTTATGACTTTAAAACCTGAACTCTAATTTATCTTATTGAGCAATTAATTGACTTAATTAAATAATTAAATCTCTAACGCTTATCAAGGTTGTTTGCAAGGATTTTTATAGAAGTTCGTTTTCAACGAAACCGACGTTTGGTAGCATTATTTTAATTGATTATTAAAATCTGAAAAAATATAAGCTGTGATTAATCTTTGTCGTTGTCCATACCCACCATGTTCTTGTGAAAATAATAAAAGTATTTGTTTAACTCTAAACATTAATTTTATTTATTTTTGTTGATACTAGATTTTGACACCAACTACTCACACGTGTAAAATGGTAAGTGGGTTTAGAAGTCACACTTGATATGGGAATATCAAATTAAATAATGGGTGAGAAGCAATATTTAAAGAGGTTCAGATGCTCAAAAGCGAATTCTACGTCTACTGCTATTGTATTAATACGAGTAAAGTTAGGTCGCGTTCAGCGAGCTGAGTTACAGTTTAGAGAGAATACAAAGGGAGATAGAGAGAGAGTAAGCTATTTCAGAGTAATATTAGCCAATCCCCACAAATGAGAAGGAATGCCTCTATTTATAGAGGGAGAGTTCAAGGTAATGATTACAAAATCTGCAAGTGGGTAGATGCCGTGCAAATCCTTCTTTGCATCCCATTGGTTACGTGCCCGAGGGATTTCCTTGATTTGTGCAGGGTTTGGACACGTGGGCGATCTCCAACCGCTTGCAAGCCTGGCACTCCCCTACTGCGTTGACAGGAACTATGCCTCTTGCGCCATTACGCGACATGGCTGCACTTGGATGACACATAACCTTCCTGAGCTCTGATTGGCCCTTGCTGACGAGGCTCCACGTCAGCCTTACTTTTCAGGCATAACAGAAGTCCCTCAGTTTTTAAGGTTTAAGGATCGAACCTTAAGAGCTTCATAATTATGCCTCAATTTGACATGTCTCAAATGATGCCTGATCGAACTAACCCGGTGACAAGGAGGTCGCGGTACACATTTTTATGAGTGACCTGAGATGGTCTTCTTCTGCAAAGTCAGCGACCTGGATTAGACCCTACTTAGTGCCGTACCGATGTGCTTCATATCTCGACCAAGGTCCGCGACCTGATAGAACTTAGCATATTTTTACCAAAGACAAGGAATCACATTGTTCCGTAACTAATATGCGACGAAAAGTGTTCTATTCTAACAACCTCTTCAGATGTTATCCGTTGCGCTTGACAGCTAATCCATTAATAAAGTAACATTTATTCTGACAGACGTGTCATGTGCGCAATAAGTGCCAGCTATGCGCATTAAATGCAAGTCATGCTGAAATGACATTCTTTATCAGGGCATTAAATGCGGATGAGAGCGCATTTAATGTGGAGGAGAGAACCGAACTGTCGCTCGGTTATTTCAATGGAGGGAAGCGACGATTGAATTTCTCGAAGTGTGGCAGTTACTCCTTCTCGATGATTGATGACATGTGGTCGCGATTAATGGCGAAAAATGCATTTCGCCCAAGCGTCGCTTGGCTTAGGGAAGACCAATCGCCACTTTCTCCACTATAAAACCCCAAGCTCGTCTTAAGCAATGTCACAACACTCATATTTCCAGAGAAAGTAAAATGCTCTCGCGAGACCAGATTTTCCAATCTCAAGTTGGTGTGCACTTTACGTTTACAGCAAGAAGTTTGATCCACAACCAAGAGGTAAGGAAGATCCTTCAATTACTTTTTTCTTTTTCTGCTTAGTAGATAGCTTATCCAAGCGATAATGGTGGGTGTGAATCTGTTTAATGAACTTTCATGGTGCGTGTTTATGGGCAGTCGAATGGAGAATGCTTTTTTCTTTCGTAAGGAATGGGATCATGCATGCTACATATATTACTCTGTTCTATAAAGTAATTAATATAATAATCATAGGAAGTAGATTTTTAAAAAAAATTGAGAGAATGATCATGCATGCTACATATATTAACTAATTTTTCGAGTCTTGTCAAAATATTTCAAGTTTACATTAACAAGTGATCTTCATCATATATATTTATATGCGAGTGTCACGTAAGAAGAGTAAAATTTATGTCATTTGACGTGAAGAATTTGAATAAACATTCGAGAATTGTAGTATCAATCACAAATAGAGCTGGACATTTGGGACCGGGCCCAAAAGCCGAGCTCCAAAACCCGGTCCTAGGACCGATCCTTGAGAGGACCGGACCTAGGAGGCCTGGTCCCAAAACGGGACCAGGCTTAAGGAGGAAGGCCTGGGCCCTCCTCCAAGTCCCAGGCCTGGGCCCAAAAAAATTTGTATTTTTTCAATATAGTCCCCTACCAAATTACATAAAACCCTTTGTTAATTTTAAAATAAATATAAATTATGAGGGCTAAAATGATATTTTACAAAATTTATTAGAAAAAAAATCTTCCAGGTCTAAAAAATTTATAAAATTTATAAATTTTACCCTAAAAAATACTAAAAACCCCCTATAAAATTTTGTTTTGCCCCCAAAATATAAAAAAAAATTGAGGGGGGAAATAAAATTATCCAAGCCCCATGGGACCGGTCCTAGGACCTGTCCTGGGCCCATGGGACCAGTCCCGACCAGGCCTAAGGCCTAGTCCGAGTCCTGGTTTTTCTCATGGGCCTAGGATTGGTCCCAGGCCCATGAGTGACTGGTCCCATTTGGGACCAGTCCCAAACGGCCCCAGGCTACCCACCTCTAATCACAAATAATAGTCTTTCCTATGCAATATTGAACAAAGAACAACTTTAAATACTAAGCACAATTTTATTATTGATTTAAATGATCATAAGATTTAATAGTGCATGTACTCAAGATACATATGCATTAACGACTAAACTCTAAAATGAAAATGCTCAGAAACTAATGATTAATGGTCCTGAAACACTTGAAATTAACATTATTGTCACCGAGGTGAAACACTTGAAAGAGTTACCTCATTAGT